CCCCCCACCCAAGGCCTGGCTGAGGTCCTGCTGGGAGCCTTGAGGTGAGCAGGCGCCCACCATGCCTGTGTCCATGTCTGCAGGTCCGCAGGGCTGTGGCCCCCATGAGTGTGCATGTGCCTGTGTGTCATGAATGTTCGTCTCCATTCAGGAGCTGGCCTTTGGTCTGACCCTTGGTTTCCTTATTTGAAGAAATCGGGGGTCCATGGCTGGTTGCAGGTTTTAGTTGAAATAGTGTGGGCAGCGTTCTCCCCGAAGCAGCCAAGGCTGCACACATGACAGTGTGTGCCCGGGCTCCCCGGGGGCAGGTATACTGCCTGGTGGGTGCCTGGCTGCCTTCCCAGCAGGGGGTATGGACACAGTCCTGGTCACTGGAGAGAGCATGGCAAGGCTGCGCCAGCCCGGCTGTGCACAGGCCCTCCCGGAGCTGCTGCGGGGTCTATGTGCACGTTCCCCTGCCCAGCACGTTCCCCTGCCTAGCACTCGGCAGGTGCTAGCTGTTTGAAGTTGGTCCTGCTACAGGGATGCTCACACACGTGGGGGCACAGGCTGTCCCCGGAGGTGTGCAGAAGGCATGGCCGCACTCAGATGCTGTCCCTGGTGCCGTACACGCCCACACTCAGGCTTGGTCTGGCACCCTGCCTCAGGGGTCCCACCTTCCCCATCTTGCCTCGCTGCAGCCAGGAGAGCGACCTTCCCACTCTCCTATCCAGCCTGCATCGCGGCGGCCGCCTCGTTATGCCTGAGCGTCAGAGCCGCTGTGACTTCCAGAGCAGCAGCGTGGAGATAGGCCTGGGTGGTCCAGGTGAGGAGGCCGGGAGCACCAGGGGCCGGGAGGGGGCTGCAGGGCCACAGCAGCTGGGCCTGAGGACAGCCCTTGCCGCTGCCCTCCCGGCGTCTGCTTAGTGGCCTGGATGCCGCCACCCCCAGCAGCCTTGGCAGGCAGCCAGGGAGGCCAGCAGAGGAGGAGGGAGGTGGCGAGGCCGGCTGTCCCCTGGGGCTGCATGTGATGGTAATTGTGTTAATCCCGG